ACTCCTGCTGAGGCTGTTTATATATATCGTGCTCCCTGTTGGCCAGCTCTATATGCTTACTAGGATTGTCGTTCTATGCTCTATACTATCCTCCTCCTTCTAGGGATTTTGCTATCTTTCGAGCGATTGTATTCCTCCTCTTGGGATAGACAGGACCGGGCTGAGTAGCAACTCATACAGGCTCTGGGAGAGCCATGCAGGTAGGCACATCTTCACTTGAGCGCCTGCGGGGGTTAGCAGTGGGACTAGCCTGCCTAGGCGTCTAGATATCGATGCTAAGGAAGATATAGGTAAGTAAAAGCATAGAAACTTTTACGCTTTCCAAGCGGACGCTGTTGAACGAAGCTTTATGGGAGGCTATCAAACTTCCTAGCATCGGCTGGTTGATGCCCGCGAGGGCGTGGCACTTTCTATGCCCCCAAGGGCATGAGCTGATTGATGCCCCCGAGGGTGTGGCACTTTCTATGCCCCCAAGGGCGTGAGCTGGTTGATGCCCCCGAGGGCATGGCATGGCACTGGTTCCTCTATCAACTTCGCTAGCCTAGTTCACTACTGCTGCTACGACTATCTATTAATCTAACTGTCCATCTTAATACCTTGTGTACCTATATATGTGTTGCTTCGTTGAAATGTCAATAAATATGTCCCGTTTTTTTTCGTTTTGCCTAACCCTACCCTGGCCCGACCCGTCCCGTGGGGCCGCGCTACTCTCGTTCCTATTAGTTCCTTCTATTGACCTTAGTAGTAATCTTTTTCTCTCTATTCAAAATAACCCCAACCCTTTCATTTTTCTCACCCTAACTCTTTTAACCTTATTCTAAATAACCCTAACTTTTAACCCTATTCTATATAACCCTAACTTTTCTTTCTTTTTACTCCATCTCTTTTTTCTTCTACAAAAAATAACTATAACCCTTTCTTTTTTCTACTACTTTAGTTTTAACCCTAACCTTAAATCTACTACACTATTTCCTTCTAGCATAGATCTTACTTCATTATAGCATTATATCTCTAACCTCTTTCTATAATATATAGCTAACCTATATATTTATACTTGATAATTCTTACTATTTGTGTATTATAGTTTTCATCTATTATCTCTTTGCTTACCCCTACTACTATACTAGTTCTATCTAGTTTATTTTTCTAAATGTATTATACTATATTATATTACTATATTCTTAGTTTTAACTTTCTTATTCTAGTTTACTTAACCCTCTAACCCTAACGTCTTATACGTCTAATATAAGTTTATTACTGCTTTATAATTCTTCTCTATATCTAATTTCCTTCCTATAACTCTACTTACCTTCTTTATTATATAAACCTTTATATTTATTTCTAAACCTTAACTTATATCCATTTAGTTTAAATTCTACTTTATATATATAAAACCTTAACATCAAACTATAGTTTATATATCTCTGTTCTCTATGTATAATCTCTTCGTCTAGTTCAACTAATTTGAAGTTGCCATCTTACTTCTAACCCTAATACTCACTCTTCTCTTTTCAAGACATATATCGATAATTTAGAACTCTTACCCTATTTCATATCTAATAATACATCTACCCTAAAACTTTCATCCTCACCCTAAACTCTACTATAAACTCTTAAAGTAACCCTAACCTATAAACTCCTTTATCACCTAAAATAGCTACTTCTCATCCTCCTTTTTAACCTGCTGCATCAAAAGCTAAGTTACTTTATATAAACAGCTACTCTTAACTCCTCCCCACAAAATTCACCCTCCTAGCCATATATAAAAAACATCCTAACTATTTCTTCCCTCTTCTGCAACCTGCACTCCTTCAGCAGCTATCTGCTCTTTGAGTATGCCGCCCCACACCACCTTAGGAAGCCTTGCTATACTAGCTGCGAACACCTTAATCAGCATGCTTCCTAGTTGGCACGCTTATCCCTCTACCCAGCGGAACCGCCCGCCATCCTCTGCCTCGCCTTCCCACCGCTCATAAAACTCCTGCAGAAGCCTGCAGTCAAAGCAGCTGGAGAACCGCTTAAGACGTCTCCTGCTGAAGATCTCCCGCTCTGCAGTCCTCATACCTTGCTGCGCCTATATCCACTCCATCTCTTCCTTCCTCAGGCACCTGGGAAACTCATACCTGTCGTCATCCCTTGCCCTGAAACATAACGCGCACCTCCTACGTCGCTGGTGAAGCTGCGTGAGAAACGCTTCTATATCGTCAGCCTCGCCTATCTTCTCCATCCTAACCCTCTATTAGTCCAGCTTCGCATGCCTGTCTAGCCCTAGAAACTCCGCCCAGCCTGCTTCGCCGTCCTCGCCAATACAGTTGAGAACGAACCCTAGCTCCAGCCCTTTTCTATACCTGCAGCAGACGTTGCAGACTTCTTTATCATCCTTGCAACTGGAGCGGTTGCTTCTCCTATCTATCACTTAGTTGAGAATGATCTGCCTGTATTCATCACTAGCGAGATACTCTTCTACTGCTGCCTCCTGTTATAGACTGCTGCTGCTGCTGCTGCTGCTGCTGCAGCATATAACGACTGATACGCTCAGCTGCCTGTTGCAACCCGCCCGCCTGCTCTCCTGCATAAATCGCCAGAGTCCTATTAGCATATCAGCATGGATCATAAGCTGTACGTCTGGGATGTTAATACCTAGTCCTAGTGCGTTTGTTGCAACCATAACGCCCTCAGCCCTGTTGCTTTGACGCTACGCCTCAAGCTGAGCCGCCTTGCCCTCAGTTAAGTCGACGTCGCTGAAGAATATAGCGCACCCTAGCGCTAACCCCAGACGCTCCACCCACTCGATCGACATGGCGTACACAACAGCCTTACCTCGCCCGCCGCTAGCCAGAAGCTTATTCACCTACTGGACTGCTACCTGGCATACCTTAGCCTCAACTGCGTTGAGTTTCGCCAGCTCTACGTCATCTTCGTCTTGTTCTGCGCTACTGATGCCACTGACGCCCTCCACACTAGCCCTCTTGCTCGCTGTGACGACAGAGTATCAGATGTTCTTGCGCGTCGTCGCCGTTCAGAACATCCTCACCCAGCTGGCCTCCAGTCGCATAGCATAGAAGAATGCTGCTTCATCTGTTAGCGCGAGCGTTGCCGTCAAGCATATCATCTGTACGCCAAACTCGCAGATCGCCTCTCCAAGCTCTCTGAGCTGTGGCTGGAAGCTCTGTGATCCTTCGAGCACGACGTGGCATTCGTCCACGACGACGCAGTCCAGCGCCTGCCTCCCTTCTAGCTGTGCGATGAAGTCTCTGAATCCCTTTGTGACGGCCGACTTAGGTGTGATGAAGATGATAGATGCCGCCTAGTTGTTCTTGCGGCTTTGCCACACGTGCGAAGTGATCCCCGCCTTGACATATCGCCTGTGTAGATCCATCTGCAGCGCCACCAGCAGCGTCACAACCACTATCACTCCATCTGGCGAGCAGAATGCTGGCAGCATAAACGAGACGCTCTTGCCACCGCCTGTCCCTATCACCTGCACGATCAGCATATGCCTGCTGGTGATAGCGAGCACTGCTTCTCTCTGGTTTCTGCGGAACATCGCTGAGTTATCCCCCATCATCTGCTGCAGCTGGCCCTCCAAGTTGATTCTCCTCAGCTTCTCGAATCGTTGGAGCCTAGCTGCAAGCCGTAGCCCTTCGTACGCCTCTATCTTTTTCCTCTTGCAGCCTGTGGAACCCTATTTCGACTCCAAATCCTCAGCCCTAAAGCCTAGAAACCTATGCTACTGACGGCTGACTCAGCAGAACTATTGCTGCCTCGCCGCGAGACTGCTGCTGAACTGCATAAGCTCTCGCGTGTAGATCATGCCTGCTATCTGCATGCTGTGCCCCGCCTGCAAGTCCTATAGGCTATCCTCAACCTCATCCATCCCCTCTTCTGATCCCACGCTAGCGTCATCTCCGCCCAGCCGTCCGAACGACTCGTTCAAGTAGCGGTTAGTAATGCTGATAGCGATATGTTGCTATATGCTCATATTGACCCAGCATCCCAGCAGTCTCATGCTGGTCTGCTGCATAATCCGCCGCGCTCTATCTGTCGTCCACGTTCGCTCCTCTTTCCACGTCCAGTCGCCCACACTTATGCTCTTATCACCAGCCTCATCTTTATTTATACTGTGATTATTGCTATCCCTAATATCTATGTTATTGCCACTTTGCTCTTCTGATCCTGCTGCTGCGCTGCTGGCTTCTGAGTCCCTCTGCTGGATGATATCGTCTGCCTATATGAACGCGCTGTACCTGCTGGCCTCATGCATGATGCCCTGCACCTCCTGCTAGAACGGCAAGATAAGCTAAAGATACTATATAATAAGCTTGCTAACCTCCCTCAGGAGATATCAGTGGATCACCTTCGCCTGCCTGGTCGTCTGGTATCCTTTATAGTATGCTGTGATGAAGCATAACATTTTGTTGTGCACTATGATATTGCAGACGCCCCTGTTAACTGTGTTAACCGTCTGCAGACCTATAAGCTTGCTCGCCTGCGCCAGCTGTCCGCTAAGCATATGCAGAAGCATCCACAGTCGCTCGCAGAGTTGTTCAAACGTCCTACCAAACTCCTGCACAGCTGACGGCTGGAATAGCTAATCTGTCGCCCTGCAACTGTTGCCTAAGCTGCTGCTCAGTCCCTACTGTTCTGCAGCAGCAGGTGACTGCGCCAGCTGCATAAACAGCCATCCGTCCCCAGCAGAAACCCAGCTATTGCAGTCGTCAGTGAGAAATAAGTACCCAGGCTTTATCTCGCTATGGTTGTCTTTAATTGACGACCATAGGATAGCTGGCAGTTATAACTGCATATCGCTTTTAGGACCATCTGCTGAACCTAAATCCTCTGTCGCCATCAGCTCTATAAGCAGCTCCTATGTCTCTCAGACCAGCTTATATAATGCGTCTGACAGCTGCCCTATTATAAACTATACCCACCTGTATAATATGCGATCGCTAACCTAGTTGATAACACCAGCTGCTGCTGTGTTATATTAGATATACATCCTATACGTCTACGTCTCAAGAATCCAGTCTATCAGCATTAGCTCCACATCCTTATCGCTTATCGTCTGCGTTATAAACTGCTGCACTTTCGCCTGCGTATGCTAGAATAAACTCTGCGCTATATCCTCTACTTCATCTTTCCCCAGAGACCTTTCCAGCTCAGCAACCTTATCGTTACGCTTGGTGTATGCCTGATGGATCACTAATATGCGCGCTATCTTAATGACAGCTGAGTACTTCGTTATGTAGTCTGTGATCTGGACCCAGCTGCTATTCTCAGCAATCCCTATCACCGCGAGAGCGCTGAGAAGAGCACTGCTGTAGTCTCCGCCCTTCAGCTGGTGGTCCAGCATACTGATGAGCATGTTGAGTGCTATACGTTCCAGCTTCTCCTGCGTTTGATACCCCGTCCCTATACTGGCTGCTTCTGCTATCTGCTCGAATAAGTCCCACGCCTCTCCCTGTGACAGCGTCAGTTTATACAGCAGCCGCTTGTCGTCGTCTATTTCCTGCGTGTGGAACCAGACGCATAACAGACTTAGCCACACGCCTTTATATCTCGCCCACGTGTTGTCCTCTATGCGGTTGTCGAACGGCCTCCTTGGTTTGACGTGCGCTTCTGTATGCTGCACCTCAAACAGCACAGCTAGCCCGACGGTATTAGGAGCAGACGTTGCTTGAGCCTGGTCTAGCACGCGGTCGACCGTCGCCTATATCGCCTGAAGCATAACCTCATCTTTATTGATAGGAGCTGTTGTGTTGAAGAGTGTGCTGGCACTGAGCCCTTTTAAGTGCACCACCTATCCTACACAGGCTAGCTACAGGCTGGGCTTAAGTCTTTCGTTAGTAATGCAGATCAGCTTGTTATGGCTTGTCTTCACACGTTCTGCTTAGACTTTCTGGAGATCTCAAACGCAGTCCACCGCCTGTTGAGCCGGGCTTCTATTCGGAGCGCTTTATAGAGACTTGTCGGCTGTTTGTCCCCAGGCCACCTCGAATTATCGCTTGCCACGCTGGGATGCGCAGAATCTCTGATATTACACGCTGACTGTCCACAGCACGCTCCTGACCTCGCTCGCCTAGCCTCTCATATCGCCGCCTCTCTTTTAAGCATTAACCTATCCATATTCCTTGCGGCAATAGGCTTAGATCGTTTGAATCCGCTGGCATATGAAACTGCACGTATTGCAACAGATTCTATTTGTGACTGGCGGCGCGATATGGGGAATCAGCTCTGTTGTGGGGGCTGGATACTGGATGTTACTGAGTTGGTCCTGAGTTCGAATAATTCCGTGGATTCCTATTATATAGGCGTATATGCTGTTCCTCTCTGCTGGTTTTAAGAGCGGATAGCGCGTTCTCAGATGCGAAGCGACTTCGTCTGTAACAACTGCGTATTAACATTCTTTGCATACTGCGAGCGAGAAGTTAGTAAGAATCATAAGTGGATCTATAGCTTCGTCCAGTCTTAGAGTGCAATCATAAGCGAAGTTGGAAATTGTTCATATTTTCTAGCAGAAGAACGTCGAAAATATCTTATTTAACCCTTTTGATAAAGTATGCTAACTATTAGGTTACTATAGGTTACTATTAGAACAAAATTCATGAATTTGATGATTTAATTAGGTTGAAATAAGCTGGCGCTGGTGTTATCTGGATCATGGTGTCTCCCTGGAATGCTTACATAAGTTAGTAGTTAATAATACTGTCGTCAATTAGTCCAGACTGAGTAGGTCACTATCAGCAGTTCAAGATCGTTCAAACCTGGATTAAATATTTATCAATTCAACTGGGTGTTCTACAGGCCAGAAACTCGGTCAAAAAGAATAACTCACTGTTATCTTGAAGTGCATCTATAATACAGACATTTTGGGCGCAGAAAGTTCAATGAATGATACTCGGCAAGATTTCAATGAATCTTACCCCCAGTCTTCGCGGACCCACTCTTTTTTGGGTGGCAGTTTCGATGAATGATACAATCATTCATCGTTGCCAGTATGTTAGGGTTTCAACGGCTTCTACTTGAAGCCGTCGTTGCCAGTATGTTAGGCTGCATTGCCCAGATCACAAAGTTCGTCCGGTCGGGTCATGGTCGATCGCCTGGGAAGCATACGCCGAAGGAACCTGATTCCTCGGTGATTTCGGTACTTTCTTGTGATCCGATTGAACTGATGGTCTTTCCATCACCAAACCTTATCAGTATTATCCGTTGCAATGTCTCTTGGTACCCTTTATGCGCGAGGGTTTGAACTTTCGTACACCAGGCATCTAGAGGCTGCCTAAACAGTGTTGTTCCCGCCGGCTACTACACGACGCAAGAAACCTCCCATGCGGAGTAGAGCCAATAAAGGCACTGGATGTTTTTCAACCCATTTTTTCAAAACTCACTTTCTCTTGATTTGGGGTAAAGTTGGGGTCATAACCGAGTCGTATCTTTTGGCGTCATGTGGCAGCCGATGGGATACCGCAGACTCGCGTTCGATTCGCAGAAGACCCTCCTTGTAAACCCCCCAGCACGCTTAACTGACTGGACCAAAAATCATAGACCGGGAGCAGAGGAGACACGCACAGCTGCATGGACCCTGACCAATAAGGTCCCTGTTGCAGCTTTATGCAGATCTAACGAGAGTCTACGAATATGAAAAGAAGCAGTTGCGCCAACGACCCCAAAACGTGACGCCGATAGGATTCAAACCTAACTAACACAAGTACTTCTCTCTGCCACACATGATAGGTACGTGCGGTACGTTAAGCTACAGGGTTATTGTGGCCGGATGCTGCCTCCGCTGCAGGGTCGCAGATGTTGCACGCACCGAATGCCTGGCTCAGAGTCCACCATGCGGGCGGGGTGCCGCCCTCGTTTCGTTCTCCGTGAACCTATCGTGCCGCGCAAGGAGGTCACTTCTCGGCTCACTCTTCCGTTCTGAACTGTTTGCTGAACCTTCTCGTTAAGCACATGATGGAAGACTGACGGACAACATCAAGTCCCCAGTGTAACGTGACTCCTGAAGGAATTCTTCGTGTTGTGAATATCATGAAGAGTCTTGATCCAAAGTTGCAGTTCAGTTCTTCGCTAATGTAATTCAACTATGGCATAGGGTATTCTAGCAAGTTTGCCAAAGCTCTAGCATGCCAAAGAGAAACTCGATCTTGGAGTAAATATCTTCTGCTAGGCTTCTCATAGCCTTGTCGAGCGGGGATCGGGCATCGTAGTCCGTATCTTTCAGCGTGTTCCTCACGCGGTCCCTGATTCCTTCATGATGAAAGACCTCCTCTAAGAGTAGCGACAGACGATTGAGTCTGGCCTTCAAGAGCTCTCGAATGCATATTTTCCAGAGCTCTCCCTCCAGTTGGAAAGACCCCAGGCTCAACGGAAGTGTATCGTTCAGATCACCGTATCCTCCAAGAGTGCCCTTTCCATTCGACCGTCCCGACACACCGTCAACTCTGAGTTCTTCAATGCCGGATGCTGTCCCTTGCTTTCCTGGCAGGACTAAGGACTGGGTGCTTGAAATTGACGCCGGCGTTGAAAGACCAGGTAGGCCCGTCTCCAACGTCTCTTTCAGCACATCGACTAGCCAGTCGACGTGGAGGCAAAGTGTAAGCAATGCCCTCGGTGCGTTTCCACACAACCCGCATGAGCGAACCGTTACAACTGTCTGGTATACGGCGTCGTCAAGAAAGACTAGTAAGTCGAGTGGCAATTGCTGAAGACGATCGTGGCCGTAGCGACGGTGTCCAGCCTGTCTTTGGGGAGACAATCGCGGGTGTATGGCCAGAAGTTGGAGCCTGCCAATGAGTGTTGGGCAAGGACATTTCTTTTCTGGTCCAGATGGACGAGACAATGCTGGCGCAATAGAGCCAATAACCCGCTGCAGCTTCGATGTGCCTGACATAATCTGGTTCCATATGTTTTCAAGGTCACCAATGACTGGGGTTTCCGACATCATGTCGCCCTTCCATATCCCTTGCTGTGTCGAAGGTGACTGTGACTGAGGTGCGAGACATTCATTACTGGATATGAAATCGATGTCGATGTCGAAGTCGGGGTCCATGATGTCATCAAATCCGAGGTCCATCATTTTCAAGTCTTCGTCTTGGAAACGGGTCGTGCCTGCCGGTGCAGAGCTTGGCGTTATCACTCGAAGATCAAAAGCACCAAAGTCTAGGCCTTCCTCTTGTATGTAATCGCCATTTATTCCCGTCGGCTTAGTATTTTGAAAGTTGCCGCTTACTGAAGTCATAGCTGCCATGGAATCGTCCGATATTGGTGTCAGAAGATGTTGAATTTCGCTTGGTGAATCTTCATCACCGTGCGACGAAAGCCATGGATCTAGAAATAGGGTTGTTTGTACCGATATACAGTCGTTTTCTTTACTCTCATGGGTTGATTCCTGGGATCGGATGTCATCTGAGCAGACGGTCTTGAGATTGTCTTTCGGCCGCCCCTTAGAATGACCAGCAGGACCTTGGGTAGTATTCGTAAGGTCTTTGGTGATTGGAAACTCATTGATCGTTGCACGGCGGTGACTCCTACTTCCTTTATTTCTTACGGTGCAATGAGATTGGGCTTGGCCCGGCTGTGAGGCCGGTAGACGGGGAGGCCGTCCCACACGTCCTATGCGACTGTAGACACAGAACTCGTCCCGGTCGGAACACCGACCGCAGGATGGCTTGCCTCCATCGCATCTAAGCTTGGATCGAGTACAAGAGTCGCACGAGGCTCTGAACCTTGGCAGTCTTTCGCTGCAGGTGCTGTTGTCCGCGTCGCGATTGTTGCCCTTGCAGCTACTGAGCGTTGTCTCTGATTGTTGTTCCATGAGTGATTTCGAATGTCTAGCGTGATTAACAATTGAGGATGTGCTGGAGGACTTATGCCTGTAGTTTCGTTTTCCCAGCAGTCTCGGCAGCTCTTATGAAAATATCCTCCAGGCCGGAATACGATTACAACAAGTATCCAAAATGCCGACGCCGAAGAGGGATGACAGGTTATACAGGAACAGGGGGGCGAAACCGCAACCAGTAACTCTACTTTTGGTGGTTCGCTCGTCGAATCGTTCGCCAATCCAGCAGCCCTGGCGGAGGTGCAGTCGATGAAAAGTTGCCGTCTAGACTTCCTTGAGGCTGCATGGCAGGTAGCGGCCGGGGAAACATTTAGATTAGAGCTTGCATTTCCGCGACTAATGCGCTGCGTTGAGAATGGCGTTGTCGTCTTCAACATATGGGCATCCTCAAAACCCTATTGTTCTATCCGAGGCAATTTCTCCGCCACGCGTCGACCTTCTCTTAAGCTTTGGCGCAATCTCTCCTAGCGAGACACCGACTGAACGCTTGCTGTAACTTTACGGAGAAATGGGGGAAAGGG